TCTAGATTGTTTTCAAAACAAAATTCATCAGAAAATTGTTTTGTATTTATCAGATTTTTCAAATAAAATGGCGAAAGAAGTCCCTTAAAATAAATATGAGTTTTGACTCCGCCCACTTTCATATTTATATTTCATATTTATTTTTAAAAAATATGAAATATATTTGACTGATATAGCACCATATTTCATGGGTAAAATTAAATAATATCTTGATATCCCCATAATTAATAATGGACTGTCAAAATAAACTGTCTGTTCCAAATCCCAGTAGCTGGACAAGTTCATTTAAGATATTTAGCAGGTTAGGAATTAAAAATGAACGCATTGTAACAAAGATTGTAACCACTGAGAAGAATGTGCACTCAAAGTTAGTTTTACGACCGGTTTGACTTGTTTATTTTATTTAATTCAGCCTTTTTATATATATATATATTTCAATTGATTAAGCCTCGTCATAAACATGTTCATCTAGTACGGCAACCTCTTTATTAATCTGATGTAAACAAAGTATTTAATATCCTTTGTTACTGACAAATCTTTTTTGAATAATTTGTTATAAATATTTTAATTAAAAAAGGAATTAAATTTCATGAAAAAATTTGACGTTACCATTATTGGAGTTTCGAGTCAATATGATGATACTTTTAAGTGCGAATCATTTGAAAAGGTAAGCTTTTAGGCTTAATGACTTTTTATGGTATGTTTTGCTTTAAAATTAGGAAGTGGATTACAAATGTAAATTTTATTGTGTTCTAATGATTCCGATTTTATCAATATTGTCTTAAAGGATTTAAGAATTAAAATAAAGTTTTCAGTGCAAAATTAAAGCAATTTTTATATGCTTTTGGATTTTATTTGTGTCTTAATTTGAAGATTATTATTTTTTTTTTTCAAAGATTTTTTTTTTCAATGAATATGGATTTTGTTGTTAAGTTTTGCAGGTTAGATTTTTTAATGACTTTATTACATATTATTATTTTACAGGTAGATTTGATACAGTATTATGATTAATTTTTTATATCAGTTTAAAACTCATATATACCAAAGTAAATCATATGTTTTGATTATATTACAGTGAAAATATTGCAAAATTACAAGACTCTAGCAAAACTATATTAAAATTTAAAAGAATGTGGGCATAATAAATGAATAGAAATTTTTGTAGATTTAGAAATAGATGAAAATATACATGTATGATAACTGCAAGGTTATAATATAAACATTTTTTATATGTAAATATCTAAATCTTTTAGAAAAATAACTTCTCAATGTAAACTTGTGATGGTACTTGTCAAGATTTGATGTAAAGGGGAAGTTATTTTTAGCATTAACACTATTTATGATAAATTAACATAAATAAATAATTAACTTTTTACTGCTATATAATGTGCCAAGGAAGACTTATAGATGCAGATAATTTCAAACTATAATTGTTCCTGACGGGCAAAATGAAATAAATTTTCTACATGAAATGATAATAATTCACTATAAATATTACCTGTGATAATTTAAATGATAATTTAGATGATAATTTAGATCTATCCCACCTGCCTTGAATGTGAGGAATTGAGGCAGTGTTTTTAACATAAAAGTTACATTCTGTAAGGTAAATTATATTTACTGAAAAAGCCTGACTGAAAACTAAAGACTGTGATTATCCTTTTTCTTATGCAATTTTGTTCAAAGTAAAAGAAACCTTAAAATTAAGAAGGAAAAAGAGGAAGAAATGAATTTTTTTTAACATTTCAAGCCATTGAAATTAACAGATTATATATTTTTGGAGAATATAAGTAAGATGTTTATTTTGAGATTGTAGGATTTCAAATGATATGTTATAACAAGAGTTGAGTAAATGACATTCTAAAGTTGTACTTTTAAGCCAATTTTCTTAAAACACTATTAAATACCCTACCTACATTGTATTCACACTTGTATAATCACTGACATTCAAAAAAATGGCTTCAGCAAATTCAAAAAGTGCCTGAAGTAAGTTTTAGCACTTCTGTATTCATGTAGGATTCATTACCTGAATCATCAAACATTTTGGGTCGAAATTATTTGCAAAGTAATTGCTGTATAAAGAGGATAAAAGGTTTGTTTATTGTGTCATCTACTTGCCAGAGATTTGTTCCCGTCACCGATAAAGAAAAACGTTATTTCATTACAACAAATATGGGGATTATAACGCTGACCGAAAGTTTTTTTCGTAATATGAATTCTGCCGTAACTTAAATTTTGTTGTTGTTTTTTTTTTTAAATCAAAAGTACAAGAATTATAATGATAGTAATACCTCTTTTTTCACTGAATGAGTTTAAAATTTCTGTCAATTTTGTGATTGAATAAATGTACTATTTGTAAAAATCTTTACAAGCTATGTGTAGTGACTTTGACTAATGTAATTTCTATTATTATTTATTTACATATATATTTCAAAGTAGGATTTGCAGATTTATAAATATAAAGCAAATAGTTCAGGAATTCGATCAACTACATAGAATTATATTCCTTTAGAGATTTGGTAAGTACAGCCTGTTACAAAATCTAAACTTGGATTATTAAAGAGGCATTAAATAGCATTTTAATGATCTTTGGGAAACACAATAGATTTGTTGGAATTCAATGCATTGAATGGAACAATTTTGAGGTAAATAGAAATATGTGAATAAAGACAATATAATGATACTTTTCAAGCAGTTGTTAAAAACTCCAGCAAATTGATATCTTTGTATTAATGTACCATGAATTAGAAAAAATCATTCAAATCTGTGCTGTGTTATCATGGAACACATTCTGAAATTTTAATGATGATGGTTTTGTGCAAATTTCTATTACCACCCTGTGCTTTTTAGCCATACAGTTAAAAGTAGGCTAAATAAATTTGATAATTATTATTTTTATAGTACTATGAACTTTGCAGTATGATATTGAAAAATAAACTTTTTTCCCCAGATTCCTACAGAAAACGAAATGAAAGATTTATTTGCTTGTTACTATTATATTTGAATGATAGTGCATGAATTTTTGATAAGTTTGAAATGAATTATCCATTCTGAAATGACATGCCAATCATAATTTTCAAATTTTGAAGAATGGATAAAAACTGGTAATTAATTACAAAAATCATTAAAAGTTCCATTTTCTATTAATAATATTGGTCATTATTCAAATGCTTGTTCCTTTGAAAACAGAAGTGAAAACTTTATTTTGTTCATTTTAAAAATGAAAATTAATATTGATAGATCAAACAGTGTTGAATACTGGATGCTAATTTGAGGCTTTTTCAATGTAACTGTTGCATTTAATAAATTATATAGTGTTTCAACCCAGTAACAGTAATTTCAGTTGCTTTGTTTCATTTTAGATGTTGAAATGAATGAAAGATGAAAGAGAGTAGGAAGAAAAAAAATGAATATTGATTAAAATTTTAATAATTAATTTCTCATTTTGTATGAAAATTGGCTGGTGTTTTTTTTCTGCATCTTGATAATTACATTGAAACTACATGTGATTCTACAAATTGTCTGGAAAATTTGTTGTTGAGCTAAAATTAATGTTCTTGTGCCTCAGTACAAGTGTGTCACAAAGAGCTAAAGTCAATAGTTATAGAGGATATTGAATGAGTGTAGGTTTAATACTAAATTTATTGAACAAGTTGAATAAAATCATATTATGCTAGCCTCTGGTCAGCAGAATATTGTTTTTTTATTCAACAAGTTCAATAAATTTAGTATTGAATCAACATGAATATAATATATTCTTTTAAAAATATCACATATATAAAATAAGAGGTAAACTGTTAACGAGTCTTTTAAGAGTCTTTTTTTTTGACACTCCTACAGTGTAACGCTAACATTATCGCTTTAACACTATGTTTATAGCGCAAATGACCTCACATCAGAGTGTTATTACACTAGTGTAATATTGTCTAGTGTATTATCGCAGTGTAAGAAATTAGGATTTGAATCGACTAGGCTGGTCGGACTACCAGATTTGAATATTCACTAGCCCAAAAGACATTTGACTAGCATGATTCATTTGTTCAAAACAGTTGTTTGTATTGCCTCTGAAAATACAGTAGCCTGGTCGGGCTTGTTACTGTGAAAAGTTGGTAGCCAAAGGAGAAATTTAGTAGTCTGGGGCTATAGGACTACTGCAAATTTCAAACACTGTTATCGTTTTTATTAAATAGAGGATATTTGTTTAGTTCGGTGTAAGATCGAAATATATTTCACCGAGTGAGCACCAAAAGGTATATTTCACGAGTGGCGCAGCCACGAGTGAAATATGAACTTTTTGGTGTTCACAAGGTGAAATATATTTCGATCTTACACTAAACTAAACAAATTTTCTTTTTATTACATGTAAAGAAACGTTTTAAAAAGACTTTTAACCTAATAGTGAATGAAAAGCGCGCCAAATAATAATACAAGGTGACGTCATTTACGACGTCACTTCATTAAGTTGGTACCCAGTACTGTGCACGCTGGTATTTCACTGAAACAACGTAAGGGGCTTAAATTCAAAACAGTGAAATTATCAAAGTGGTAATTTCACTGTTTCAAACAGTGAAATTACCAGTTTTATGTCACTGATATATTTCTATAAACCACCGAAAAGCATGTAATAAATGGCTTTATTACACTCTTGCGCCACGGTTTATGTGATAAAAATTGTTATAAATGCATGTTATTTTTTTATTCTGAGAGACCAGTCAAATTTTATTAAGATGGCTGTTGGTCAATTTGTAGACTTGCCTATGAGAAAACCAATCAAAATGCCAGAATCCCTGGCTTTTATATGAGTAATTAATTTATCATTAGTAACAAAGGAAAGGAAAATTGCAATACCACTTCAAACCTGTAATGTAGTGGCAAGCTGATGTGTGAAGTGCTTGTCTAGTTATTGAAGATATAACAACAATGCTGATTGCTATTTCCCACTCTTCACACTGTTTGTTTTTTCCTAGTGATTTGCTTGATTCTATTTGGCTAATGTTTTATTGTCCACAGCGGAACCAAATTTACAGCCTGCTTGATTGTTATTTCATTTTTGTGTTTTCAGGATGTGAATGACTTCTCTTTTGGAATATATTCCTTGATTTGGTGTTATTTAAAGTAAATAAAAACAAAGTGAAAAGTTTTTGTGAATTTGGATTATACAAAATATTAAAAGTGAAAGGTAAGTGTCTAATTTTTCTTTTCACCATGCACCTACTTAATGATTGCAAATAAGGATGATTTTCAATGTTTAAAACAAATATAAAGCTGGAATCATATGTGATATTGAACTTTTATGGACCTTACTTAATAGTACACAAGTCATACAAAGCATCCTTGTGGCACTTCACAAAAATAAATAAATATATAAATAAAATTCTTCTTAGATTTTGTTGTTGAATAGTTAAGTAAAAGACTAGTTGATTTACTTTGATATTTATAAATGCTGGCAAGCACCAAAGAATATTGAATTTCTTAAATTCTTGTTTTGCTATCAATTAGAACTGAAAAAATTTGTGCATGTGTCCTTGAGATTTTGTTTTACAATAAAAGAAGAAAAAAATATTATGTGTACAATTTGAACTAAAATGTGGACTTATATTATGATGATGAAGATAATAATATTGGCATCTCTCATATTAAGCAAAAGCAGAGTTGAAGATTGATTGATGAATTTCTGTAACAAATGATAAAATGCCCATTGCATCATATAATAATAACTTCAAAACAATCTAATCTTTCTGGATGGAAATAAAGGGGAGGGGACACCAGGTGGTTCTAAACTTTTATTTATTAATTAACTATCAATGATCCTTCCCAAGGAAATGTTTAAAATGTGATTTAGCACAAGTAATGCTATTTTGATCATTTTACTTGCATTTTGTATTTTATTCAATGTACTGAAATAAAATTATGAATTGGTATACTGCATATTGACATGTCATACAGGTTTAATTATATGAACAAAGGAGTTGAACAAGTGTTGATGATTGCGACTAGCCCATGCCACCCGGTTCAGTCTGAAAGGTATAGAATTCTGATTGGACCATTATTGCTGAAATTAACAAAAAATGTTTTTCATATTGAAAATAGTGCTAGTCCACTAGATACAGAGAGGAATCGCTTAATTGTTTAGGAATAAAAAGATGAAAAAATTCACAACATGCTAGTTTTTTGTCTACATTGTCTGTTTCCATTTGTTTGACAGAGTACAGGAAAACAATTCAGGAAAAAATGTCTTTTTATCTGATTGAATCAGAAGAGGGCAAACAGTCTTAATTAAATGAAAATAATTATGCTGTAACCAACATCATTATATCATGAGTACATAATAATGCATGGTCTATGATAGAAGATCTGCAATACTATAAATAATTATGTTCATAGTATTCAGTGTTCAAAGTATCAAACATGACAATAAATCTTGAAAGAATTATGTATATATGGATGTTGTTGGTAAGTGTTAGATATATGAACCTATATGACATAATTATATATACATAGCAGATAATAAAGTGTTCTAGAACAAAATACTATTATTGTCATATAATCATTTTCATACTAAATCACTTAAGAACTCTATCAACCCTTTATTTACCAGAAATATTTCATAAGAATATCATATGTTTAATGTTTTATCTATTTTTGAAATACTTATAAAAAATGTGCCCATTGAATCATTAACCAATTCACAAAATAATTGTTTCTCTTTTATTGTAAAATAAATTCACTTTAAAGTCATATGATCTTGTTAGAAAGCAGTTAGAGCCAAAGTGATATTACGACAGTCAACTCAGTGCTCTTTTATGAATATATTTATGTAAATTTTATCATGTTCATTATATCACAGGTCCAATGATACAAGCACTTGTTTAAAGTGCAAGATCATCACATATCAATCTTTTCAAACAATGAGATGTCCTAGAGTAGACACACAATGTCAAATATATCATTGTTTTTTTATATCACAGGTCCATTAAAGATAGGAATCTGGACAGACACTGACCAATCATTTCTATATTCTATAAGGCCAAATAAAAAAATATGTCTGGTTCAGGAAACATTGGTCCAAAAAATTAGGAGGGTAGGGAATTTTTTTTTTTTTTTTTTTTTGTTGGGAGAATGTCTTATCAGTATATAGATGTGTTGCTTGCTTAACATACTTAAACAAAGATTGTAATCAATCAATGCAAACACCATTTTGTAATAAACTATCAGCATGTGATATTGTGTTGTTTATTTCTTGTATGTAGTCATTTAACCATGTAGCACCTGTATTCATACTAATTTGCTTTCTATTCTGCTTATTATGTACCCTTTCCTTTTGAATCACCAGCTATTCTATGCTAACCTGCATCTGACAGGTCTGACAATTAAAAGATCAAGGGTCACCTCTGTAACAAGTTAATAATAATGCTGTATTATAAGCTTAGAGCATTTGATATGCACTATTCCGGGGACCAAAATAACACAGCTATATATAATTTTAATATTAAACATATTCAAATGGTCTTCAGGGGGTGCAAGTCTATAGATATATATGTGCAACTCCAGGTGCCAACAGTTGCTGGGTTCACACAATGAAGGAGTCTTGGGACACCCAAGCACAAAAAAGTAGGAGTTCCAGATCACATTGAATATGTAAAGCCATCTCTGCTGCACTTATGCAGTTGACAAATATGATGTATAGCAGAGTTACTATAAAGGGGTTGGGGAGTCAGAGTTTAAACAGAGAAAAAGCTTATTCGGGAAAAAAGTAATATGCCCCAAATGGAAAACACTGTACCATAAAAGTGATTGAAAAGATTTGAAATATTATTTCAAAAACATACATCATCAGACCATTATGCTGTTTTCTTACACCCCCCTCCCTTAAAAAGGAAAATATTCATTGTATGTTACAAACACATACTGGTAATGGCTCCATCTCAACTAATGTAAACAATATCTTTAGTAAATTTAATTCCTAAACTATATTTTAAGTGTTATTACACACATTTTAACAAAACATATCTTCCTTTTGGTTACGATTTTTTTAATTATAAAAAGCGGCATCGCGAAAATATGTGACAATTGAAAATTTGTCTGTTTCCTGCAGAAACATTCACAATTCTACTTGTTGTTGATTTTGATCATATAAGATTAAATATTTTTTTATTATTTTAAGATTGTTACTCATCGGCTATTTCAACAGGCATCGTAAAACAAAATTTTCACATTTGTAATTTTCGTACCCAAAAATTTTCGTACCGAAAATCAAAAAAAAAGTTTAGGGTCGGCGTTAAAAAAATAGGGTCGGTCGGGTTCCCTGAACCAGACATATTTTTTATTTTGGCCTAATCTTGTTCTCTTACAAATTTCATCCTTAACTTCTTGTTAATTAAAGGTTGCTATTGATCAGTATTTAGACAAAATAATAGCTCAAAGCTAGTTTAACATAGAAAGATGATATCTCCAATAGGAATAGGTAGCTGAACATTTGTCAATTTTTATATTGTCTCTTGTTGCCATGGTCTGTATTTGACTCTTTTGATTCATTTGAGGTTCTTCTGTGTTTTAACTGGGCATTTTCTCCTGATCACAAGAGGCTAATTTAAGGTTCAAATCCCAATAATTTAAGGTCCAAATCCCAATAATTTAAGGTCCAAATCTCAATCAGTTCAGGCCCAATTTCCAATAATCTAAGGTCCAACTCCAAATAATTTAAGGTCCAAATCCCAATAAAAATAACCTCTTTTCTTGCCAATGTCCCTCTCAAAAAATTCTCAACAGCAGTCAAAGAAATCAAACTGCATGTTTCAACTTTTGATAGATATTGTAAAAACTGTTTAAAAAGTAACAGGGTATGTGACTATACACACAGAAATCAATGTTGAAAAGTCATTGTATAAGGTAGTTTTTCAATTATTTTTTTTAAACTTAAATTTCCCAAAATGCTGTATGTTTTTTTTCCCATTATAAGCTTGGGGCCTTTACTAAAAGATGATAATGCTTCTGTTGAATTTAACAGGGAGTATTTGTATAAATATCACAAAAAGGAATTGTTATTTTGATGAATAAAAAGTTCAAAATACTGAATAAATATATTTCCTTTAATTTGTTCTTTTAAGGAAGTTGACATATCAAGTCTTTGTATAGGGAAATCTAAATTTTGATTACAAAGTCCAAGTTTCATAACTACTTATAGGTCTAAGTTAAGTAAATAGCAGCAATTAGAATTTCCTGATATATCAACATAAGAAACAGTGTTTGTTTACTGCAGTTGAATGCAAATTTTAGCAAAACTTCTCCAGTTTTGTTCACCAATAAATGTCAGGGAAAGTTATTAAAAGGTTTCATTCAGACACATTTTACTTTCCATTATCAATGTTAGACATTATAATTAGAACATTTGCAAATATTTAATTTCTCATGTAATGAATGGAATTATGATGAAAATAGAAGGAAATGTAAAATTTCTTTTGCATATATGTATACCCCTTTTTAAAAGAAATCACTTTTCTTTGATTTTGTTGTAAATAACATATAGCATTTAAACATTGTGGGAAAATAAAATATCTGATGTTATTTTGACAACAATTTTTTAGCCTTAAAATGTTTCAGTTTAACATGAGCATAAAACTGCCTGTCTAAGGCCTTTAAGTCTATTTTTTCAAGACTGTTACCCTCTCAGAGGCTCTGTATATTCATACATTCTTTAAAACATTTTTAAATGATTTCTTTAGAAAGATTAATGTTCCATTCATGTCTCAGCATCACGCCACCTCCGCAAGTAACTGGATATCAAAATTAGTTTTGACATGTTAATTGAAAATGTTTTTGTTTTGATGTTACTGTTATTTATTGCTGTTGTTTTTTGTTTTTCTGTTGTTTTATTTGTTTTCTTTAAAGAAGAGATCACTTTCATCCTGTAACCTGCAGGAACCAATGTTTTTATTTTGATGCTACTGTTTTTTAATGTTTTTTTAATTTTTATATGCCCGAAAGGGCATATTATGTTATACCCCCTGGCGTCCGTCCGTCCGTCCGTCCGTCCGTCCGTCCGTCCGTCCGTTAGCAATTTGTCCGTTAGCAATTTGGTTTCCGGAGCATAACTTAAGTTCCATTTGGCCCCCAATCTTCAAACTTCATAGGATGATTGTCCATATTGGGCAGATGACCCCTATTGATTTTGGGGTCAAA